CTCCCATCTCCAATTGCCAATGAACAGCAGCGAGGAGATAAAATTGCTGCAAGAAGCTGAAAAAAAATCATCAGCGGCAGTCAAAGCAGCCAAATGAACCTGCCCAAGATGTACAGTAAACACTCCCTAAAAAATGATCAAGGATCAATGGAAATAGAAAATAAAAATATTTAAATTCTGGGAAATCTACAGAAATTATTTAAAAATGATAACTTATTTTAAACAAGAAAGGAAGCTAACTTCGGCAAGCCGAAGTTTATATACCCTTGCAGATTGGTTTCGATGTTTATATTATAGATTTAAATGCTGAAAACACTCACAAAGCAGAGTTTCATTACATTTTACCTATACTTATTATGTTTACAGTTTGACAGTTACAGTTTTACATTCCCAGCCTTACATTTTCTCTACATCTACCGATCGCTCCTATGGCAGCTATATGATATAGTTGTCCGATTTTTATGAAATTTATACCATAATTCTAGAATAATAAAAAAAGCTTATATCTCAGAGTAGATAAACATACGATAAAAAACAACGAAGCTATAATTTTTTTTCCTATTTATTTCTCGATCGTTCCTATGGCAGCTATATCATATAGTCGTCCGATTTTCATAAAATTTTTACCAAAATTCTAAAATAATATAAAATAGCCATGGCTATAAAATGGTGCAAAAATGTTGAAAAACAGCAAAGTTATAATTTTTTTTCTACAAATATATCGAACATTTGTATGGCAGCTATATGATATAGTCGTCCGATCCGGCCCGTTCCGACATATATAGCAGTGAGAGCATATAGAAGACTATATGCAAAGTTTCATTCAGATAGCTTTAAAACTGAGGGACTAGTTTGCGTAGAAACAGACAGACGGACAGACAGACAGACGGACAGACGGACAGACGGACAGACGGACATGGCTAGATCGACTCGGCTGTTGATGCTGATCAAGAATATATATACTTTATAGGGTCGGAAACGTCTCCTTCACTGCGTTGCAAACTTCTGACTGAAATTATAATACCCTGCAAGGGTATAAAAATAGTGTCTAAAAGTATGCAATAAAATATTTAGTGATCAGAACTATCATAAATTTGGAACGCATTTTTTAAAACCTCTTCCCTCTCTAATAAAAATTCCCTTAAATTCCTTATTGCAAAATATTGTCCTTCGAAAGCAATGACTACTGTACCAACGAAACAGCAGCAACAGTTGAGTGAAATGCCTTGGCATTGCGTGTGGAAATGTTGGTGTAGTGTTTATGTTGTTGTTGTAATTGTTGTGGTTGTTGTTGTTGTTATTGTTGTGGGGTAATTGGCGTGCGGTCGCCATAGAGAAAGAAGCAAAAGAAGCCTCCACAGATGATGTCGTAAAAGAGCAAGTAGTAGTCAAAGGAGTGAGGGAAAAGAGGCTAACATACGCGTTAGCAATGCAATTTATGTGCGTTTAGACGCATATTTTGCCAATTAAATATTGCGATAAAGCATGCAGCCTATACAGAAAAACAAACGCACACAAAAGATGCACTCTAAGAATAAGTTTTGACAAGAAAAGGTTGTAAGGAGTAATTTTAAGAAAATTAAGGTATACAAAAAATAAATAAAAAAAAACAAATAAATAAAAAAATAGTTAATAATAAATAAATACAAAAATAATTAATAATAAATAAATAAAAAAATAAATAACAAATAAATAACTAAATATCAAATAAATAAAAAGAAAATTAATAAAAACAAATAAATAAAAATAATAATAATAATAAATATGTATATTACACAGAGAAGTTATTAAATTTAAAAATTTGATAAGGGGTTGCAACCTTACAATTTTAAAAAATTAACAAAAAAAATTTTTTTTTAGTTTACAGATTATTTACCTTATAATTGAAAAGTATTCTTATACAATATATTAAAACTTAATGACAAAGCTTAGAGTTTTTATATTTATTTGTATATTTTTATTTTTATATTTATTTCTATATTTATTTTTATCTATTTAGTTAAAAAAATATATATATCTTGTGGCTTACTTATTCGACTTAAAATTTTTCTAAAAAATATAAAAATCTTCTGCATTAATCACCCATTTTCGTCAAGTGTACCCATGCTCATCCCTGTACTTGGGGAGTTTTAAACTGGCGCGCAGGCGCAGCGACTAACTGATAAATGCCGCTGATAGCGTCGCTGACGTTGGCAATTTGGTTGAAATTTATTTGGAGCCCGAAGACGTCGCATCGTTTGTTGTTTCCCAGTTTTGCTGGCCAGGCTAACTGCTGGCTTACTGTTGTTGGCCTGTCGGCCTGTCGCTGGTTGGTGGTCGGTTGTCTGTGTTGTTGTTACCTGCGGTTGTTGCCATTGCGCAACGCACTTTGTGCGTTTGCAAATTGACATCTTTCAATTAAAACGAGCGGCAGACTCGCAACGAGTGGCGAGTTTTTCTTTTATTTTTTTCCAGCTTTTTGGTTGCTGTTTTGGTCAGGCACGCACATCGATGTCCGCATTGCAGTCAGCTTTACGGCTCAGCTTGGGCTTCATTGTCAGAATGCTCAACTGCTTTTGGTTATTTTTCCAGACTGTCAAATGGTGCAATTTGGCAATAAAAAAAGAGGTTTTGAAGGCAAATGAAGCACTTGAACAAGTGTTATTGTTGATTAAAGAGTATGACCAAGTTTGTAAATAATTTTGGTTTACATTTTTTTTATTTGGAATTATAATGATTAAAAATCTTTAAATTTTAATATTTTTTTAAGAGAAACAAATCCAAAACTATATTTTATATATTTAAAATGTATATTTTTTATGAGAAAAAAAATTCAAAAAATATGGATAAAATAAAAAAAAATAAAAAATGTATCATAGATTTATAATTTTAATGGAAATAAAATTTTAAAGAGCCTATATTTTTTATATTATTATAGAGTATCTTTGCGGCCCCATCAAGAGGTTATTTTTTTGTGATTTCTGATTTGAAAAAGCGATCGCCGGCAACATGTTGCTGCAACATTCGGAAAATGGTACAAAACTTTGCAAAAAATAAAAGTATATATATATAGCTCCTTCATCTCGATATTCAAATCTTTGACACAAGTTGCAGCCACTCAAAGTCATAGTCGCCGTTGAAATGTTGCACATTTTGATGTTTGATATGCGCATTTGGGCAAAAACACGTCAAGCTGACCAAAATAGTTAGAAAATTGTATGGAGAGAATGATTGAAAAGAAAAAAGCTAAACAACAACAACATTTAGAGTTCATAAATGGCCACAACAATTCCAAAAGGCATATGCAAAAACAAGTCAGTTGTCGTTGCATTTTGACTTTGACAACTCTTAAAAAGTAGAAATTCCTGCGATTGGAAAAAAAACCAGCAAACGGTATGTCTCAAGCAATTACGTAATTAACTGAATATATTTAATATAGTTGGATTTACTTGGATTTAAACAGTTATTATTTGGTTGTTTATTAGACATATGATTGTTATTTATCGATATATATCGATTTATTAGGGGATTCGAGTTGTTAACCGGATGTACCACTTTTAGTAGGGTGGTTTTTTGAAATTTAAAGAAAAATAAGTAGACTTAAGGTTGAAATAAATATTATTTAGAACCTAAAAATTAATATTTTCTAAGCTTAGTATTGAAATAAATATTATTAAATCCTTAAGAATAATATTTTTTAGATTTAAAATTAAAATAAATATTATTCAGAACCTTAAAGATAATATTTTTTTAATTTTAATTTAATTTTTAATTTTTTTTAAAAGATAATATTTGAGGCTTAATATTAAAATAAATATAGTCCCAAAAAATAATATTTTTTTTATCTTAAAAAAATATATATTCCACCATCTAATGTCGAAAAAAACCCCCTCAAGACTCAATCATTCGTCTGGAGATCACTTCCCAAAGACCCCCCTTTCTTCTACCCTTTCTTCTTCTGTTGTATCATTTGGCTATTAAGAATTTTTCATATTTTCATAATTAGAATGTAATCGCAGTCGCTTAAAAAAAGACTCACAACTTCCAACTACAAATCCAATTAAATGCATGAAAACGAAAAAAGAACCGCCGCCAAAAGGGGGAAAAATATGAAAATTAACCCCGGGAAAGGGGAAAGAGAGAGAGAGCCCACAAATGACGATTTGCGTATAATCCGCGGAAAAGAATATTATGCAAAAAGAACTTGCCGTTCTTTCTTCTGGCTCTTCTTCTGGCTATTTATCATAATTGAGGTTGGGCAATTAAAAAGGGTAGTATATGTAGTGGATAGGAGGGGGTTACCCCGAACATAATCCAAATCGAAAGCGTTCCACGGCCATATTGGTTGGTATTTTAATGGATTCCCGAGCACAGTTTCTTGTCTCATTTTTTGTTGTACTCCTTTTTTCATCTTGTTTAAACTAAATAATTCAATTTATTTGTTGTTTGTTTTCTTTTTTTTTTGAACGAAATTAAATTAAAAATGCATTTTGGGCGAGCAAATGAATTAAGCCATCATCGTCGTCACGCAGAAGTTGCAATGGCCAAAAACGTGTTGAAAGCCATGTGTGGCCCCTGGATAGCCTCTCTTTCCTATATTAACCCGCCTATATCCCCCTTCTTTAACCCCTCTTGTATCCCCTTTTTTTATTCGTTTTACCTTAACCCCTGGACACACCTTGGCGTGTCAGTTTCACGTGCAGTGGCAAAAGGCAATTCATCTTGTTCTCATAGCCCCAGTCCCAAGTCTTTATTTCATTTTTGTTTTATACTCTTATTTTCTTTTTTGTGTGAGTGGAGGTTGAGGATCTTCAGCTGGTTAATTAAATGGTCGGGGCAGGGCTTTATAATGGCTTTGATATTTTTAAAAGAAATTATAAGCCACAAGCTAGATTGATTTCTTTTTGATTTCTACAAAGAACAAAGCTAAAAAGCATCTTTAAATTCTTAAAATTTAAATCTAAAATATACATAAAATATTAACTATTAAGATAAAAGTATAAAAAAGTCACACACTTGGCCGCAGCCGGCAGGATTCGAACCTGCGCTCCCCTGAGAGGGAATCTGATCTCTTAAATCTGATTTACACTCAGACGCCTTAACCACTCGGCCACGACTGCTTTGATTTTAGCCAGGATTTCGAAAGGAAACTTAAAGCAAAAGCCTAAAAAAAATTAAAAATTGAATAATAATTAAAAAATACCCAAGAAAAAAATCAGCAAGAAATTGAATCAAAAGATTCACAAGAATTCATAAAGAACTAGTTTTCCTTTTTTTTCTGGCCACTTTTTTTTTTTGGTCACTCAAATGTAATTACACTTTACTAAATCAAAGAGTTGACAATAAAGAACAAGAATAAAGAAAAAAAACAGACTAAATCCAGAAGAAACCCAGAAAAAATACCAAAGAACCGGGTAGGCAGTAGCCAAAGATCAATAAAGCAAATGCCGCCGATTACGTTGGTTTCTGAAGGTGCGATTGGAAAACCCAAACTAGTGGCCACGTCAACTGCCACAAGGAAATTGCAACTGGCAAGCAGCAAGCAGCAGCAACAGCAGCAACTTGCAGCAAGCAACTTGAAGCCTGCAACGTGCAGCAGCAAATTAAAAGAGCAGCGGTGGCATATTGAAATAAGATCAATATCGCTGTGAGCAGCGCGTAGTTGCGTTAAAAAAAGAATATATGTATATATATATATATATGTATATACATATATGTATATATAAGTACGATTGTCCCTGCAGCAGGAGTCGCAGCAACTTGCAACAACTGTCAAACAAGCAACAAGACATATTGCGGGCGCGGTGGCGGTGGCACAGAGAGAACTTGGCCCTCGAGACTCATTTACAACTGACCGAATGAGTGGCTCTTCCCCGAGTATCTTGCAGATACCGAGTATCTAAATATCTAAGTAGCTTTGTGTGTGTGTGTGTGTGCGTCCAACACTTTGCGCCAAATCGATTGTTCTGCCCCCGAACAGATGTTGAGCATGGGATCGCCTCGAAGGTGTTCCTTCCGCCCATTGAAACCAGTGTTGGCCAAAATGGTAAAATGTAAGAATAAAAGAAAAAGTATACAAAAAAAAAAAAAAGAAAAGATTAAAGAATACAATAATTAATAAATAAAGAATTAATCAAAAGAGAATATAGAATATAGAATAAAAGAATAAAAAAATTAAATAATAATAGAATAGAATAATAAAAGAATAAAGGAATAAAAGAAAAAAATAATAACATAAAAGAATAAAGAATAAATAAATAAAAGAATAATAAATAAAAAAAATAAAAGAATAATAAATAAAAAAATAAAAGAATAAGAGAATATAAAAATTTAAAAAAAGAATACAAGAATACAAAAATTCTTCGTAAAAATTTTAAATGTCTAAAATGTAGAATTAAATATTTAGTTAATTTTATAACTAAATCTAGGTAAATATAAATTATATTTTATACATTTATATATTTCTATATTTTCTCTCTATTTTACTCTTAATTCTAGCTAAAAATCTCTAAAAATATGATTTTGTCTTAGGCCTCCTTTGCTTTTATTTTCTTTTATTTTATTTGTACTCCTTTTTTTAGCTGCATTGGCTGGGCTTCTGTTTTTTGTTTTTTTTTTTCACATTTTTTTATTTATATTTTTTGTAACTCTTCAGAGGCACCGCCGCCAACGCTGCCTACCATAAAAACAATTGCTCCTGTTGCTCCTGTTGTTGCTGTTGTTGGTACGCAATTTAAATGGAATTTCTGCTACTGGGCCCATGGAACACTGATCGCCATAAATAATCGCGCAGTGGCTGCTGTTGGAGTGCCGGTGGAAATAGCATCAATGTTGGCGGTGTCGCAGCAACACGAGAAGCAGGAGCAGTGGCAGTAGCAGGAGCAGCATGCAACAACACCACCAACATGGGAAACTGAAGCAGCAACAATAGTAGCAACAACAACAACAAGAGTCGCAGCAACAGCAACAGCAGCAACATCACCGAGTTGCAACTGCAACGGCGACCGCATCTGAGATCGCGCGATAAGGTAATTGGACTATTATGTCAAAAAGTATTTGGCGTTTAAGAAATATGGCCTGGCATTTGACATTTCGGCAGCCGTAGCAGTAGTCGTTGTTGTTGTCCCCCCCTCCAGATATATATCCATATATATATATATATTCCCCTTTGCTGTGCTGCTGCAATTGCCACAGAAAACAAAAGGTGCACATTAAAAACGTGGCTCGATATCGAGATTGCATTGATCGGGGCCACTTCAAGGGGGTTAATCGGAGGGAGAACGCATTGTCACCAGGTAAGCAGAGTGTTAAGGGGACTTGAAATGATCAAAGCCAATGTGCGTGGTCATGTAATTGATTACGCCGCGATTCCAGAGATCCTCAAGATCCCCAAGATCCCCCGAGATCCGCTTAGGATACCCTAAGATCCCCCAAGATCCCCAAGATCTCAGTTGAATGGGAATCGGAACCAGAGAATGGACATGGAAATTGAAGGAAAAAAAACAAGGAGGAGAAGTATAAGAAAGAAAAAAAGGGCAGGAGTATAGGAAAAAGGAGCTACTGTGCAATCCGTTTGGGTTTCAAGATTAATCATGAAATCTGCACAAGGCCGAGATGATCAATGGAGTGCGATTATTTCGGCTTCTAATCGGATTAAGGAGTACGGATTATAGGGAGGTTTTGAGTGTATTAGCAATAAAAGGGATTTATTATTAGGGAGGGTGGATATTAATACAATAATAAATAAAAATATCAAGACTCTACTTAATAAATATATAAATTAAATGAATTAAAAATAATGTCTAAGTAATAATCATGATAATGGCTAAATAATAATGATAAAAACAAGTATTTATAACAAACCTAATATAATAATTCATAAATATAAATTTAATAAAATTAAAATTTTAAATTTAATTATATAAAAATATTTATAGAGTATTTTAAAGTAATTGAAAAATATATCTATTAATAAATTAATAATTACTAATAATATTATTTAATTTTAAATATTAAATTCAGTAAAAAATGTAGTAAAAATTAAATTAATTAATTAAATTAAATTAAAAAAAAAATATTGGTATGTATGTTATAAAAACTCCAATACACCGAATCATAGGGCTTTTTTACTTAACTTTGCCTCCAGCATCCTTTTCTATCGATAAAGATGTGTTACACTGGTCGAACTATCACTGGCCTATCGATAGTTTAATAAGTTAGCCAAAAGGGGGTGGTATGGGTGTACCAATCCAAGGCAAAGTCAACAGGGCAACTGTTGATGAATATTCCTTGGCTCTAATGGTACACCAAGTCGACTCGAAGGTGAATATCGGTTTGATAGACACCACCTTCTCTTGGGAGAAGGTCCTCCGCGTGGTACCTCCTGGAAACGTACGGCCAATGCGAGCGGCACCTCCAGTGAATCCCTCACCTAATAATCCTCTGCCTCCCAATCCCTACCGAGACATGGGCAAGTCTTAAAACTACCTCCCCTCAAGTCAGGCGTGTAAAGCGACCCGTGCCCACTGACTATAAGGTTCGCAGCTGAGGGGTTAAACCAGCTGTGTTCGAACGGAGCCTTCCCAGGGCCGGGCAACCCTGGGTCGGAACGAGCCTTGCCGTGGCTTAGGGGCGAAGCCACGATCGACCTTCCTTCAATGCCCCGAACCCCTCGGGCCCGCCGCGCTCGCCCGGTCGAGCAACGCGGGCGTTTATGAAAATGAATACAACTAAAAAATCCGCTTCGGACCTCGTGGGGGAGGTAAAACCCCACCACAAATCGACGGAAAGCGAACTCGACGAGGGGGAGCTACTGCGCTCAGACGACGAGACGCTAGCCCCGTCCAATACAGAGGGAGGTGTAAAGACAAGCACACCTCAAACGACACAACCAAAGCATACTAAAGCGGCGGCAAGCCAAGCCAAAGCGACCGGTGAACACGGGAAGACAAAACCGTGGACCCACCAACAACGAAAGGCGCAGGCAAGCAAGGCCCATTTCATCCTCGCCAAAATAGCGAGGAATGAAAAGGAGGGCAAAGCCGACCCGCGCGACGCTGCAGACAAAGCCAGATTTCTAGCAGTGATCGAGGAATACGAGCGCTACGAGAAGGAGCACCCAGAGACGTCTTTGCCTCCTCAAGCAAAGCGCAACCGCTCACAAGAGGTGAGTGAGAGCGCTCCAAAGAGGGCCAAGGACGCTAAGGGAGCACCGAGGCCGACCACGTTCGTCAAACCGGCGAAAAAGTTCAGCGAGGTGGCCAGAGACAGCCTCGCAATGGCACTTATAGACGAGCTCAACGACGATGGGCGCCTGCTGATGGAGAAATGGGAGGAGGTCGAGACCCAGTTGGCGGAGATGGTAACCGACAAATTACTGTCCGAGCCAACGGGCCAGTCACCCTCCTTTGACTCCTCAGACATGGTTAGGGGGCACCGGGTAATCAGGTGCGACGACGAGTTTTCGCGGGATTTCCTGGCGGATTGCGTTGTCAGTCTAAGCAAGGCATGGAAAGGGATTAGCATAAAGCTAGTCCCCGCCAAGGACATCCCAAGGAGACCCAGAGCTCGCATCTGGTTGCCCAAGGGGCTGTCTAGCCATGAAAGGGTGCTCAAGACTCTGCGAGCAATGAATAAGGGAGTCGACATGGAGGACTGAGCCATTCTCAGAGCTGAGAGAGAAATGAAGTCCAGCCAGCCATATCTGTTCTTAATCAACCAGCGCTGCCTAGAACAGCTGAAGGCAGCAGACAACAAGGTCCGGTACGGCATCAGGAAAGCCAAGGTGAAGGTCTTCCTAGACGAACCGGACGACATCCTGGAAGATGAAGTCGAGGACGCCAATAAGCTGCTGGACGATTTGGCGATCGACGACAGCACTCCCAACACCACCCCGATCTAATGCCGACGGTCGTTCAGATAAACCTGAAGCGCAGCTCCCACGCTTCAGCTAATCTGGGGGGTCCTTCTCCGGGAGAAGGACATCGACATCGGCCTTATACAAGAGCCATGGACGAGGGACGGACAAATCTCTGGCATGGCCATAAAGGGATACACAACATTGTACACAAACTCGACAGGTAGGCCGAGGGCGGGTATAATCATTAAAAACAACCTTAAT